CCACATTACCGATCGATAACATTCATGTCTCACATCACCACCAGATGTTCATCCAGAGATACCCGATATTTCATATACTAGACCCTCCTCAATGAATTTTTTCGCTTCTATTCCTCTATTACCTGCAATTACTCGCATTCACTATTCATCTCCATACCCATTTCATTCTTCTACGCACAAAGGCATTTACCACATCTTATGATTAATCTAAAATCATCCACGCCACCACTTTTACATCTAGCCCTAAATATATGTTTATAAATGCCTTTGTCCTACACCTGGTTTACAGTTGATAGCAGATATCCAACTCCATTTATATTCATACCAGATAATTTCTAGAAAGTCATCATCACCTTACAGTTGAGGCTAAACAGTTATGCACAGACCATACACAAGTCTCGGCTGAACCCATTATTAATGAGAAAGAAATGTCATGCAACTCAGCTTAAAGCAAGGGTCCAGAATGAGACAAGAGTATATCCTTCTTGTAAAGCTCTCACTTTAGGAAATACTTTGGGGAGGAGGGGCAGAAAAAAATAAAAGTACAAGCAAAAGTACAAGTAAAAGTAAAAAAAAAAATAATAATAAAATAAAATAATAATTAAAAAAAAGGAAAGAAAAAGAAAGACGAAAAAAAAAGAACAAAAAATAGAGGGAGGGGGATATTTAACACCTTCCGTGAGGTCTTTCAAAAGATGGTGGTCTACATTTGCAAAACCGAAGAAAAACCACAAGCACCTGATGGTGCTGTTACCTTTGTAATAACCTCTCCCTTGATCTCGCCTGTAAGGAGAACTTTTGACATCAGCAGCTCTGTTGGCACGATGCAGCTGAATTGTAGTAGGGCAGTCAGGCAGTCAGGCAGTCAATGTCCGGTCAATAAAAGTAGCATAGATTCCAGAGTAACAAGCATTCCAGTGCATACATGGTTAATACATTCATTCAACTTTTGAGTCACGTTAACTGTAAGGCATAATAGAAGGCATAGACACACATGTGTGATAACCACATGGCATCAAGACCTGCTTGTCACCTGGCAGAGTAAACTCTTGAGCTGAAAGTCGGGTATAAGTCTGCTGGATTTACAGGCGAACAGACATCAAGGGAAGGTTGGTGATGTCCTCAACAGGATTACTTGGGTTTCTTCCTGCAAACTCTGCCTCTGGCCAATCAGCTGCCTCATTCTTACTCTCACCATCACCACCACCACCACCACACAGGTTATTATTTAGCATATGTCACACTAAAACTCCAGAACTTATATTATATTAATATAATATAATGAGCAAAAATTCTAATCAATATTTATTTGCCTGACTGTTATATAAAAATCCCCTTTATGTTAAAATATTCAGAAACTAATCTTTGTAAATTACACAAAAATAATCTAATATCAGTTATCATCAATGTAAACAAGTATGAATAGCACTGTGTCCTACATTACAATGTCATTCACACAATTTCTGGCGGATTTTGTAGATTGAGAAGGTATTTTCAACACATTCATTTCATTCATATCATTTGCACCAATGATGTATGTAAACAACACAATAAACAGATACCAACTCTTGATTTCCCCGTCTGATCCATGTCTTACATAGGGATACGATTAACCTGTCAGAAAAACTAAGAATACAAGTAAGTATTTGATTATAATACTCTTGAAAAAAATAAACAAACAAAAAATAAAATTCTAGGAATATGAAAAAATGAAACCTGTATACCACACTAAAAGTAGTAACTTTCGAAATTTCCCTTAATGACCAATCCATAAAAATTATTCTGTGCTGAAATACACACCATGTAAGCCAAAGTATAATAAAATTGGCACTCCAGGTTTCTTCCTTGGAAGATTTCACATTGCAACCAACATGTTGAAACCCTCAGATCTCTCAACTCTGTGAGCAAGACTATCACACTATCAACACCCTCTAAGTGGTCTAGCGCTGGTTAAACTTACCTAGGAATGGGAGCCGGGGACTGCTTCAGCGGCGACCCGTACATGCCACCACAGCCTGGAGGGGCTGACAGGGGGGGAGGAGCCATGCCTAGACCACCTTGAAAAGTTCAGCAGTCTGCATTAGTACACACAGTATACTTGCCCACGACCTTGGGACACAACCATATCTCGGTCACTGAGAAATCTGCACGCCAACCTCTCCCCCAGCACCACTAACCAATCCCAGGTTCAGGAAAAAGACTACAGCTGCATGGATGGACACTTAGGTCACAGAGTTATTGAGGTTATCAATATGAATCTCATCCTCAAGTAATGAACAATACAAACACAAGATATGTAATGATATGATGCCTTCTCACTCATATAAACATAGATATATCCCTGTGTAAGATTACCTCTAGCTTTGTCAAAATTCAAGTCAAATTCTATCGCAACAACAATCATATGTTTCTTGTGTCCCATTTACCTATCATAATTCTTGTCAACTCACTGTTATTATCTAAAACACAATTACTACAGTTGGTCCAAAAGTAAGTCAAGTCATATCAGTCTTGTCAGTGCCAAATTCCTGGAAAATAAACACACAAAAACAATGGAGGTCAGACTTACTGTTGTATCCACCACCTTGCCCACCCCCCAGAAGATGGTGGACCACCATAACTTCCTCCAGATGGAGGGCCTCCGCCATAGCCTCCTTGTGTTGGCGGCGGTCCTCCAAAATTTCCTTGGGCAGGAGGAGTTGAGAAGTTAGCATTGGGTTGACTACCATATGCAGTGCTTGCAGGTGTCTGTCCATAGCTTCCAGAGCCGTAGGTACTGTTTTGTTCATAACTGCTGTACCCTCCACCACCTGGTGCTGACTGAACTGGAGCCTGAGTTGGCGGCGGATGTCCGTACCCACCTGGTAGTAGTAGCTTAACCTCAGTCACTCTTCTCATTACCAATTCATTACTCATAACCATTCATCAATTTTATTTGTGATATCCATTTTCCTCTCAATCAGTAAATCACCAGTAATAAGTATCTTAACTATAACAATCTATATCCTTCCCCATTTCTCAACTGCAATCAACAAAGAGAAAAGGAAGACGTTAAAAAATAACACTATGAATACTTACCAATCAAACTACGGCAATTTTTCCATTTCTTTGTATATTGCTCACCATTAACGATTTTCTAGCTTTAACAAGATCAACAATAATGACATTTACCTAGATCCTCCTCCAAATATTCTTATTTGGACACTTCATATTTCAGCATTCCCATTTTTACAAAATAAATGGAAGGGGTGGGGGTGGGGAGTTAAGTACAGAAAATTTTACAACAGCTTTTGAATAATTTAGAAGAACTAAAATCTTCAGAGAAACAGCCTACTAAACTTAAAAATGGTTTTCTATTCAATATTCCTAACAGGCATACGACAAAAAATTCTATACTTTCGCTATGTACATTTTCCCCCAGTAGCAATAATTACCACTTATTTACAGTGTCTTTTATTAAATTCCAGAAAATCTTTTGTTAGATTTTTTCTCAAAAGTATCACTGGGTACAACACAGAGAGGTATCATTAGGACCCATGGAAAGAGGGGCGGGGAAACATGCATACATGGAAAAATTCAAGAATATGGTTTCATAGCATCCTATTTCATAGTTCACTTCATTAGTCTATTAGCAATAGTCTGCCCAATATGAAGGACAGTTATTTTCATAAATCATTTCAATTACCAAAATACAGAACTCTGTTTACTACAAAATGGAACATTTAGTGCTGCATTACACTATAATACTGATACCTAAAACTACAATCCATAAATGATTCTAATTTTTTTCATGTGCATTCCACCAGGCATTCCACCCATTTCTGTTTTCTTGCACATCTCATTTACTCTTTGTAATTACATACAAATTCTAAAAGACAGTTCCTGATTTTCCCCCCTCACACACAGGAATACTTCTTATACTATAAACAGATTTTCTTGGAAATATTTTCAGCTTCAGCAACAGACTTTTCTCTACTGAGCCTACTTGTGACTAATGTAGACACATCTATAAACTGACCATATAAACTGCTTACTAAATAGCTATTCTGTCAGCAGTCGTCACTCGATCTTTGGCAACGAGATTCATCACTATCTCTGACATGACACCACCTGAAACTTTATATAATTATACTAGTAATGACAAAACAAAATCAAAGAAATATAAAAGACGATAGAAGAAAGGAAGACAGGAAGGAAGGAAGAAAAAGACTAGAACCCTTCTTCCTCACCTTGTGGAGGTGGGGCACTGTATGAAGGGGGTGCTGCGTAAGGAGCTTGTCCCTGCGAGAAGCCTTGTGGAGGAGGGGTAGAGTATGCCCCGTAGTTTGGCTGTTGTGGGGGGAATGCTGGGGCCGGAGGTGAGGCGGTATTAGGAGCACCACCATAACTACCATAGCTACCAGCACCAGCGCCACTGCCGTAACTGTATTCTGAAAATACATTGTGCTGTCAAAGCCTGATGCTATTTGAAGTCGAGTACTTCCTTACTCTATGGGTCATCATTGTAACCACTTCAAAAGTTTACTACAATCAATACCTGGTTTTTAACTCATAACTATTCTCATTTACAGAAGCACTAACAAACCTGAATGAACTGAATAGAATGGTGGATTGAAAATACACACAATTTCACTGATAACATCTTCTGAAATCTGCAAACTGCACATTACATGTATACATACATGCACATACACACTAACAAATACATACATACAAATGTGAAGGGATTATGCTAAAAATGACTTATCTTGCATGCTTGAGTAGCTTAAGGGGACCATCCCTGAAAAATCACCAATTTTTTATTTTTGTTCAAAAATAGAAAATGGTCTTACAGATTTTCATGAATTTTGGTAGGATGAAAGAGTACATCATTACCCATCTTTTGACCAATTTTTAAAAATTTTGGCCGAAGGGAATTTAAGCGCTATTAAAAATCTATTTTTGATAGATAGGTCCCTTCGGTACCTACCAAGTCTCACAATTATCATCCGTTTTCTATGTGCTTTCTGTTGAGAAAACCTTTAGGTCATGCAAAGAGAACAACGAATTCGAATTTGGAAATTCCATTTAGTTTCCGAATTATCGCGTGTAATATAATCGGCATTTTTTTTTTAAATCAGGGTTTTAAAAATTCGTTAAAAATTTAAAATTTTGATTTTATCAAATCCCATTCCTTATTCTCTGCAAATTCAAACGTTCTTTCTTGGGGGAAAAGCTCCATGATATCGGACACAAACTGTGGAGTGTGGTAGGTACCAAAGTTTAAAAAATGAATAAGCATAAAAAAAAACCTTGAATTCTTTTTAGAAAGTTTTCGTTCATTTTCTATATTTTTTCGTCTTATTATAGTATGTGCCTATAGACCAAAAGGAAGGCCAGACATTGTTCTTTCTTTTGTTTTATATTTCATTCAGATCGGATAAGTGATTAATGAACAGCATCAAAAAATGTAAAACAGTATGACGAAAAAATCCCCAACCGACGCCGCCATGCAGCCTCCTAAATGCTGTGGCAAGCCCTGCGATCACACGCGCGCAAGTTTGAACTTGATCGCCTGCCTTCAGCCATCCTCTAAGCTTCACCTCATACTCTAACAAACAGGCGCGCACATATATGTACGCAAGTGCGCACGCGCTTGCACACACATAAGGGCACACACCTATACGCAAAAGTGCACGTGGGTGTACTCTCAACACTTTTGCACGAGCTCACACACAAACATACACACACGCTCGCGCGCGCGCATACACATAATTGCAGATTTGATATGAAGACATGGTAATCGATAGCTAAACAATACTATACAACCTTGAGGTTTCAATGCAGTACGTGTTTTGCATGTATGCCTACTAAAGCAAAAAAAAAAAAAAAAAAAAAAAAAAAAAAAAAAAAAAAAAAAACTTTATTTCATCATAAATTATATTGTATCATTCATGAATTGACATAAGGCGTAACAATCATTATTTGAACTGATATCAACATGTAATTACTCTATCATAAGCCGAAGGAACAGTCGGAACGAGTGTAAAGGCCAGTTACCTCAAATGAGCGAAAATGCACTTGCACCCCATGTTGCTTATGCCCTTGTTACACCAAGAAATAGTTCGAGATGGAGTCTAACAATCGAAGGGCAGTTTCCTCAGACATGTAACAATACGTTAGGACCAAAACCAAAATTCAAGTACCCCGACCCCCCTATGGCCAGGGACGGTCCCCTTAAGCTCATTACCAACATTCAACTATCTCCAGCACATGATAACTAATCTTGTCATATTTTTCACTGATACCCATATTTCTGTCAGAAATACAAGATAGATTTGATTCTTGGACTTTATTTCAATTTGTATGGTTTCTTTATTTGTAAACTAGTTAATGTGTGACTATGATTGTATGACTGCATAAAACAGGGAGAGGATCTCATCAATAATGTTGAGATTCCTCCTCTATGGGCTTTCTTCAATATCACTGTATTGTTACACTTCATGCTGGAGGACATGATTATTCAGTGGTGAACCCTGAGGAGTGATGGAAGAGGACATATCTGCATACATTTTAAAATATTTCTATTAAGACTTCAAAAAAATACTGTAGTCATTCTTTTATTTATGTGCCAATACCTATTTCTCGGATACCAAACATTGAAATATATCTCATTCTTTGGTATGCAACAGCATTTTTCATAAATTAGGCTATGGTTTTCCCAACTAAAACAATTCATAGCCTAAGACTTTGGCTATGATTTTAAGCCATTATACCAGCCCCTGTAATCAACAGACACCTATGTACAAATGTGTATATGGATATGGGTTGCACACACCTACTGCACAATATAAATGTTAAACCTACAACCACCAGTACATTTTCATGCCGAAAATAACAGATTCTGGGCGGCTTCAAAATTGGTGTGTGGGCCACTCTGCCACAGGCAACAAAATCAGAGTGCAAGCTCTGATCTAACAACACACCGGCGGGACGCCTGGGAATGATTTTTTTCTGGGCGTCACACATATGAGACACCTGGCGCAAGTGGAAAAAACATCAGAAAAAAAAAAAAAAAAAAAAAAACTCCCATCAACCCACATATAAGCACACACAAACACACACTGTAAAGAATAATTTTGTTAATACCATCTCCAATTTCAATTTGTAGTTATAAGTAAATCAACCATTAATGTTAAAGTGTAATATTCATTATTCTTTTTTGCCCCAGTTTAGTAGCTATCCCAAGTTCTCCCCCTTTTCTAAAAGGATGCTAAATTCCCAAGTCTTCATGTAAGATGACACCTGTTTACATACTGGCAGTAAGCAGGAGCTTCCCTCTACAGCAGACACTGATAATTAGCCAAATATCGTTTTGACATGCATGTAGTAACACATGAACAACTTAGGTCAGTGTTGTATCATTCTTTGCAAGGTAAACAAGATGCGGGACAGAATCTGCACGGCGTTGCACATTATATTTTCATCATTTAGCGGTGACTATGAGGCTGCTGCAGCTTAAACTTAAACTATCCTACTCTTATTTCTTCCGCTCTACAAGATGGCAGTGACCATTTCCCTCTATCTATGCGCATCAGTCTCTTTAACTTATAACAAGTTCACAAGATTTTAAATTAAGTTTTGAGCCTAAAAATAGAGAAACATTTATGTATATTACTCTGTGAATAATTGAAACAAGAAATAGAAATAATAATTGCAAGTTTGGATGTCTGCATGAAACAAAAACTTTACCTTGATGTCTACCAACCAAATGTAGCCTTCCATGATAAATGGAATGGCGATTGTTACCCAATAATAATAATAAACTACGGGAACCCAACCCCCTTTCAGCCTTTTCCCCCCCCCCCCCCCCCCCCCCCCCAAAGAAAAAACATATTGACCAATAAAACAACCTAATCTAACAATTTAAATTGCTGTGACTAGGCATGCCCTTTGAGCACTGCCCAAGGGGAGGGTTGATGGGGGGCTTTGTCCCCAACACCCCTCTGGAAACAATCTCTTCACCTAGGTATATATGGCAAGACAGACCGGCGCTCACACTGTAAAATAATAAACCAAATACTTTTATATCTGGAAATGTCAAACTTTTGTTCACTTTCCTATGATCTTGAGTGCTTCTTTTTAATCACTATTTTCTGCCATTTGGGGCTCTTGATAGGCTTAGATATCAAACTGGGATGGTTACAAAGTTTATTTCTTCTTTGTTACCACTGAAGTCTTACAAATAACCCAGAATCTATGCAAAATTTCTCACCAGTCATCTGTCACAAAATGGACAGCGTTGTTGCTATTTCGGTTAAGGTTTACAATAGGACCGCACCGACTAGGAGAAAATTGAAGATCATAGCGTTGTAGGCGATGAAAAACTACATGCATTACTATCAAAATTGATTTGCATTAGCGAAACTGAGTTAAATGAGGAAAAGTTGGCGCGCAGAATGCCGCGCGGGTCATTCTGGCACGAGCCTCCAGCTACTAAATCCAACCCCCCTCGTGTCGCAGCGAACCACTTAGCTGCGTGTGAATCCAACATGAACTGTTTTGGCGCATGTAGTTAGTGACGTCACAACAAATTTCTTATAAATGCACTGTAGTAAAATGAATTTCTGTATTCTAATTTATATGAAATTTTAACGAAAAACGCATTTATCAATGTTCATTCCTTAAATACACGATGTGATTAATTTTACCATATATGTACCAAAGTTTCATTAGAAATACATGGTATATCCATACTTGTGCATCGCTGTCCTCTCCTGGCAAATTTGACAGTTCTGTTACAGTTCTCGTTGTTTGTTCCAAAGGTGAAGGTTGTTTACAGTGCTACTTGCGTTTCCGATTCCCCCCTGACTATGTCAAGGTTAGTATGCTGATTTAGTGGGAATGTTACGAGGTAATTGTAATATTATGTCCGCCGATCTGACATCGCCGATAATCATGTAATGCTCTAGCCTGCCGGGATTACGTGGTGGAGGTTTTGTTTCCTCTGCAGGGGTTGGGGAGCGGCAGCCCCCCCAGGAGGAATCACAATGGAAAGTCATGTGAATAACCATGGTTATTTTCAATGTGCATTATATTATTAGTGTTATTTAACCCTGCATTTTCCCTGGAACCTTTCATGCCCTCCCCTGCTATCGGGGCCAAGTGTGTCGCTAACGGGGGGTTTCCGTGCAATAAAAATTATATATTTGTAATGTGGACAGTGAGAGGAATCCAACGATACCAAAATCGTCAATATCGGAGCGGCACAGGTAATATAGAAAATTACCCAATTGAAATAGTAAATAAACAATATAAATAGCTGAAAGTTTTCGTAGTTGGTTAATCTGTACAGTATGGCCGCACTAAGTCGGTGCAAATTGAAGACGATATTCTTATAGAGAACAAAAAGTTATAGTGATTGGTACAAGAAATAATCTGCAGACATGAATATTAATGTCACAAATAAAGGAAAAGTGTTGCTCACAGCCGAAGTCCATTTGCTCTGCGCGAAAGATTACGTTGCCGCGCAGCTCGCACACTGTCTTCTGTCCTACTGTACACCTACGTCACCACTACCTCATGACCAATCAGGAGGCGGCAGTCTAGCAGATTTGTAATTGCTCATTAAAGTTCAAGTATAAAATCCCATAAATATATCATAAAAAAGTACACGACTATTGACTAACTTTTCAAAAGTATTAATGTCTCAGCCGTTTTTATGTTAAAATGTGCATTTTGATTCTCAATTTTGGCTAACTTATTAATATTCTTAATTGCCAAACTACTCAAACAATACAGTCGATACTTAACACATTTCGAGTATTGAAATAACACGCACATTTCTCGACTACACTGATGACCTGCCTCCTCCTCAGTGACAATGACTGATGTGTGTCAGTTGTGTTACGGTGGTGTACTTGACCTTTTTTTTTTTTTTTTTCGATATTTAAGGGAAAAACTGAAGAGAAGTTTTACCAGATTCATGGAAACTAAAAAAAAAAATAATAATAATAATAAA